GAAAAAAGACTCAAAGAAATTCTATATGGACTTCATGGATTTCCTTCCAAAAAAGACGACATCAAATTGGTATTTACGCATTCGGAATTACGTCACTAACCACATTTACATGACGCAAATTTGACGAAAATCTCTTAAAATTCCAACCCGGTACTTGAGGGAAAGGATTAAGTTAAATGCAACTAAAATCGTCTCTCCGTTGTGTCTCGAGAACACATACCTGTGAATCCGCTGAGAAAAAAATTCACGAAAAAGGATGACCAATACTGCACAAAAATTTTGTAGCAGATTTCACTTATCGGTAATTTTACGATAGGAAACATACACTTCTTGTCGTATCAGTCACTGATAAGATCTTTACACTTTCGTAATTTCACACATTCATTGAGTAGTTTACTTTGACAGTTGCAATACTGCACTGATTTCAGTCGAGACACTGTTGCTAATTTTTTTCCTAAATCTCTCTTAAACTGTTACAAGGAAATATGCCAACTGTCCAAAAAATCTCTGTCTGTTATTCAAAGAGGAAACGACCCAATTTAAAACTGAAGTGTCGACAGTAATCCGTGATTATTTTGATTTTGCTCAACTTTTTCCTTTAATTGGTCCAGAAAACACGCACCACCTTCTCAACCAATCATAAGTTAAACTAAGTCGTAATATGGTGGAATTTAGAACAGCTAAGTGCGATGACTTTGATTTCTGATAAGCTCTTTATGCTGTTATCCTTTGTTCTAAATAATGGGCCCTCTGAGTTTCTTTGGCTTGGGCTTTAATCTTCTTAAAATGGACTTCACTTAGCTTCCTTCCCTGAGTATCTTTGAATAAACTATTGGCCAATATCAAAGTTAAGATCACTTTCAATCCTAATTAATTATCTCCCTTTACCAGTTCTCTAAATAACTGACTCTCGACCGTTAAATAAGCAGGCGAAAAACAGGGATCTTTAAAAGAATTATTCGCAAGAAATCAAACGCCTCCCTTCAAAACTTAAGACATAAAAATAAACCACAGCACATTTTTTTTTCTTTTTTTTCTTTTCTTTAATCCAGAAAGTAGCCGAACTCTTACAAAATATTTTTTTTCAATGTGCTCGAATTCGGCTTCGAACACCGCCACATTGAAAAAAAAGTTTCAGTTGTCTGATCACACAGGTATGACGCGATAGATACACATTTACAACATCTAGATCACAAACATCAGCTGCCTTTGTCCTCTGCCCTTTTTTTTTTTTTTTTTTTTTCAATTAGCACGAGATTAAGTTCAATGATGTGGTTATGTTGTGAGGTTCATATTATATCCCGAGTTATTGGCCAAGATGCTGAGCAAAATTGAAAAAAGGCGACGGTCGTTTTCAAATTTGTTACTCTTTGAAAGCTCAAAAGTCGGTAAACTTTATGATTCAATTTCCAATTGAATGTCGAATGTTATCCGGGATTTATATGTGTTTTCCTTCATTTCACTTTGTGATTGGCCCAGAAAACCCGCGCCACTTTCTCAACCAATCAAATGCAAATCTTGCAGTAACACTGGCGTTACTGTTAAATAATGACTAGGGCATCTTACACTCTAAGTGCTACAAACATCGGACCGTGTTCTTCAATTTCATGACACGTTTTTTTTTTCCTCGTTGCTTACTGGAAACAACAGGCCTGATGATATCAGCAGCAGATAGAACAGCTTCTGCAACCAGTGACAGCTGTTTCTTCACATCAGCGGCGTTGCCTATATTTTTGCCTCTATAATGCCTGGAAAGGATCTTCCCTACAAGTTTCGTGAATAAACATGCTGCATGATCGGGTCATTTGACTTCAAATAGGGACTGATAAATGCTCTCTCCACCCGAAATATTTGTTCACTGATTCTCCTGACAACCAATTGGCCTTCTTCTCCAGCAAGCTTGTCTTTTTCCGCATGAAAAAGAGTACTCGCATCCATAAATTTCTCTAAAGCACCATGTACGAGCGTCTTCGATACATTCCAGCGGCCCAGCATTTCATCAATCATTCCAAAAGAATTTTTGACTGCTTTTGCATAACATAAGACTTTGAAATAGAAAACAGAAGTGTCGCTAAAATGAAAGCGAGTCCGCCGATGAGTTTAGTCATGGGATCCACGAACTTTATCCCATATTAATTTTATCCAATAACAGCAGTCTTTCCGCGTATGATAAACTGGGTAAAGAAGAAAATTATTATTTTCATCGTCATAAAAGTAACTGAAGTCAGCGGCTGGCACGCCAATACTCATACAAAAAGGCAGATAATCGCAGAAAAAAAAGGTACGAGAATCGTGAAGGGCTTTCTGGGGTAGTCTGCTGATCTCCCATATCTCTCCAGTAGATTGTAATAAAGGGTCCTCTTATCCAGACTGCTGATCGTCTTTATTCTATGAAACATCGCTTTGGCAAGCTTCGGGCATATCTGAGCAATCAAGACGTAGTTGCCACCCATAGCAACATCCGTATTCGAATAAACAACTGCTCGATCTACGAGTAGCTTGGTATGTTCCTCAACCCACTCGACCTAGCCTATTAAACCGAACTCCTGGGCTCCCCCTACTCCATAACTTAAATGTCCTTCGCAGCTTCCAGCCGTCTTTTCGCAAGTTTCCGAGGACTCGAGCGACTTCCATCAAAAGGGTAGAACCATGCACTGTACCTGCGGCTCTGAAGAAAAATGCGTCTCGATGTTTGCCCACAAGAACATACCGATCTGGTTCTTCTTCACCACTCATGGCTCCAATGACACTGTAATTAATTTTTTTTTTCATCTCTAGTTTGTTGTGTACTCGCAGACGCACCTATGTGCCGTGATTAGTAAATCCAGGACCAAACCTTTGACATTGAGAGTTCCACGCTATCTCTCGAGGACTTCGTCTCCTGCCGAAATATCATACTTTAAAAAAATTATATTTGTTAAAAAAATATACCATTAGAGCATGCGGAGAGCTTTGCAGTGTGCTTTAAAGGCCAAAATAAAATCAGGTCAAATGAAATCACATCTGGCGGACAGGACTTAACATTAACTAAAATTCATGAACGACTTTTGAGCAGGAAAAACATGCTCACCAGTTTTATGAATTCGCATGAAACAGTCTTTTCAAGATATCAGTGTTTTCTTTTTTGCATCGGTACATGACTTGTCTTCTTATACCCTGAATCATAGGATTGAAATGTAATTCCTAAAAATTGCAGAATTTAGCTCATAATAGGCCATTTTACAGTTGTGCACTTAGTCGCCACGCCTTTGATTTGGAGTGAGGCTGAAGGTGACCTTGTTGTTATAAAGACCAGTATCTACAAAGTAATTTACAGTTGAAAAGCAGCAAGGTTTGTATCATAAGAAGGTCACCCTTAGCCTCACTCTTATTCAAAGGCTTGCCAACCAAGCACATAACTGTAAAATGGGCTATTAGCAACAATAAGCCAACTCCAACCAGCCAACTTAAAACCTCGTATGCACAAACTAACTGAAACGCAAACCCTGGTACAATAAAGGTGGAAGGATTCTCTCCTTCCCCACGGATTAAGGCCAAAATTTACATGTGATGCGTAAACTTTTCGCAAAGGCGAGGGTGATTCGTGAATTTATGAACCAGCGCAAGGCGTGATTTGTACCTTAAAATATGCGTGACGTTCATTTGGTGAAAACCTCGTGACTCACGCCTGACACCTTGTGTCAGAGAGAGAGACTTGAAATTTTCTGTTTATATAAGTGGGGTTGAATATCAATTGGGACATCGTCCTGTTTTCTTCTCCAGTTGCCGATACTATTCTGTACGTGTAAAAAATTTCAATAAAGTTAAAGCAAAGTTAAAGTGCCAAAATGGTGGGTAAATAGTCATTAAACTTACAAAATGTAGCGTATATTAATCGGGTTTGTCACTTTGACTAATCACAACCACCCACATCGGTACTGGCGCATTGTCAGTTTCTTTCTACCCAAAAAATGATAGGGAGAGGGCACAGGATCCCCTCCCCCCCCACCCTCCATCCATGCTATCCGTGCTTACTTGCAGGCCTCGTACTAAGATATGTTGATATTTATCTTGAAAGCCAATTTGTGTGGTATTACGTCATATTTCCTTCACCAACCACTTCTGATTTCCGCAGATGAGACGATGACGTCCGACAGTCAAGGGTCCTTGTGTCCTTGCGTACTTCTCGTCGATGTAAACCTCTTTGGGAATAACAAAAGGCCCGAATCAAATCAAATTCTACTTTTGTGTTTTCAGAGAAAATCAAATAAAAGATTTCTCCAATATTTTAAAAACTTACGTCATCATTACGTTACAAGTTTCACGAGCCGATAGGCCATAAATCATAAATTGCACAGGCAAACATGCTATTTTTAAATATGTCTAGTCACTACTCCTAATCAAATCATCTCTTAACGCTACTTTGCACGTGCCAGGTGTAGATTACTCGAAAGAGTTGTTCAGAGTTTTGAAGATCGATTCTCATATGTTTAATTTCCATGTTATTGATCATTTACGACAATGACTATAGGCAAATAAAGTTAATTTTTTTTTTTTCACCGTAGAAGCTAAAATATCAAGTACAATACCTCAATACGAAAGTCAAAATCCCGTATTGTATATAGCTCAACTCGGTTTCGGCTTTCGTCATTGACTTATGAGATCTAATCAAGAGCAAGATATTTTGTTGAGTATATGCTAAGAAGAATTAAAAACTGAACTAAATTTGGTGCTATGCGAAGAGGAAAAATTCATCTTCTTGGCATGAAAATTTATTTTGAGCTGCCATATGATCAACCTCATTTCCTGCGATGATAGTCGAATAATTTGGCGTGTATTGTATCAAGAGGAGTATTCAGACTGTAAAAAATCTTGGCAAGCAACCACACTTCGAGTATAGACACTAATAAAGCACAATACTATGAACCTAGCTATTTATGTAATATTTTGAAATTTTTATAATGGGAACCACTTTAAACAAAATAACCAATATTCTTGTTGTATAGATATATCGTGTTTCAGAAAGCTAAAATGATGTGGGCTGCTGTTAAGGTAAATCGCATGACAACAAGAGTGGCAGGGGATTGGAAAGGAAAGCAGTGACCAAACAAGGCCTAAAGTAAAACGGAAAGGAAAGGTTTGATTAGCTTGACTTTGTGTTGAATCTTGACAATTTTTTGCCCTCGTTTTGAACTTTCTCTCTGTCCTAAGGAGAAACTCTGGGCCATCCATTTTCAGTTCGTCACCAACGGAGGGTTCCTGCAAGGAAAATTACCAAGCAAGTCTTTATTGAAAAGGTTCGTTTACATGTTAATTAAGTTTTTGTCAAATGATAGGTATTTCAAGTATATTAAGCCAACCCTTTACTCCATTAGAATTCCACTTCGACGAGTTTTATTTTTTTTTCTGATTGTGAAAGGTCAAGCTTTCTTTTTATGATTATTCACAGATTGAAAACTATATATTTGGAAGATACTAGCTGTAAACATTGTGTCAGACGAATAAACCTTGAAAACAGTTGATAAAAATAATAATGACGAGGAATGTGTATTGATCATTAATTAATTGAAAATCCGGGCGAACTTCAGACATCAATATGCGGTATATATTATTGTGACCGGCGATAGGAAGTGGCCGCCATAATCAGTCAACACGGCGAATCTTGACTGACGAAATGAATGAATTTTTATTTTTTTATCTACCATTTTTTTATCATTATCATTTCTTAAAAGAGTTCCGCTGATTTATATCCACCTTGGAGCTCAACTCGTAAAAGTAACGTTAGTTGACAATTTGAACTTGAAAACTTAAGAAATGGTCAATAAATTTCAGGTCGTTATCCGGGGTAAGACTCGAACCGCTGACTAGGAATTCCTGCTGGTTGGCGGGCCCAAATAGGAGCGCCATTAGGCAAGTTACCAATGAATCTATTTTACACATATAAAATTTTCTGTTGTTTGTAGACAAACGATTTTCCGTTGATGTTAGCAGCAATATAGGTATAGAATATACCGCTTTGCAGCCATGAAGGTCATCGAGATCAAACATTTCCGTAGCTTCAAAATCTTAAGACAAGATTGAAATATTATTTATTTAGTTTCTACGTTGAGTAATCGAAACTCCTCGTTGGAAAATTCAGCCACAAGACAGGAGGGGAAGGGAAACTGGAAAAATGGGTTATATTGACACAATGCATGTTCTTCCTGCTGGCACCGTGGTCATGGTGCAATACTCGCACAAATGACATTAAAAAAAAACGCCAATTTTCTATTCTTCTTCAAAGGTGTTGTTGACAAGGATCTACGGAGAAACATTCGCCTCCAAGATGACTTTACAACATTGTTTGCTCCAAATTTTATTCCTGGTCTGCCTCTGTGATGCAACTTTAGGATGTACTCCTGGTGAATCCCCTCTCAAGCTAGAGAATCGCTCAGATAGCTTCGTCAAGGGTTGCTATTGTAAAAACGAAAGACTTTCTTTGTGCTTCGAGATTCAGCGCGAGTTTGTACAACTGATAGACACAAACAACAATGTACTGGTGCAATTTAGTAAGCCAAATCGCCAAAGAACTCACGTAAAAGTATTGGGGCACGATTTCTTGTGGTAAGTTTTAGTAATCATTTTTTTGTTCAGAAATACCCCTTGAAGTGTCAGTCATATATTCATTACTTCATTGTTGTACTAACAAGCGAGTGATTTTCGCCCAATGAAATTTTAATCATTTAGCACGATGCTTGTACAACCAGTAAAGTTTTCACAATGCTTTTTACCTGTTGCGTTAAAACAAACAAACAAAATCAAAACTGAGCTAAACTAAAACAATTTCACACAACTACCGCCTTCTAAAGGTTAACAGCTTACTTGCGAAAGCCGAGAAGGTAAGGTTGGAGGCGTAGCAGGGTAGAGGGACTGCGAATGAGAGTGAAAATTTTGCAAGGAAAAAAATCGCTAGCTCTTTGATTCTCGCCAAAATTAATCTCTATAGAAA